AGCAGGTACAAATCAACTGATTGTTCATCATTACAATTAACATATTGTGAAAATGAGTGCAGGCCACATAACTGACCATTCTATCTGGCCAACAGGCAGCAGGATGCTTGGGTGATCAGATAGATGGTTCACAAATGGTTTGCAGATTACACTCCTTTAGTGACAACCAGAGTCATGCGTAAATGGATTAAATACAAAAATGTCAACCTTCTTTTTGGGGATGAAGGTTATATTAGCTTAACATCGGTATCGGCCAGTGTTGGTCCTTTTTTAGCATATCGATATTGGTCCAATAAGTAAAACTAGGCCGATATAAACATCCAATATTGATTTCCTACTTATTATAGTTTGTTTCTGTTTTGGGAGGGGAAATCCGTTTGATCGTGATAGTGACGCTGTGCAGTCAGGAATAACTGAAGTAGAGAGCTATGTCAGCGGTCTGGTCATTATTTACAGTATCAAAAAAGACAAAGTATGTTTGTGAGGGCATGTGTATGTGTGTATATACAATTTGTGTGTTTGTGAAATATCGATTGGATATCAGAAGAAATTTTCACATCAATGCATCCAAACTTATAAATATGTTCACTTCTGCACTCAAGACTTTGTTGGGGCCCATTTTAGAATAAATTACTGCATCAGTCAGCATGGTATGGAGGTGATCAGCCTGTGGCACTGGCATTATTTGATAACTGTCCCCACAACTATATAAAAGTAAACCTGGTTATGTATGTGTTTGCGCACACACTCGAGCCCAAGAATCCTGATCAAGAAGCCCAATCCATTAATAAAATTAAAAAAGTTCCCCATTAGATTGTTCTGTAGAACTTACAGGCTTATGATCGATGAAGGCCAAGCTGCATTCTTTAACGGTGTGGCGAACCACTTTTGAACCACGGCCACGGCCAACTTTGTAAGCAGTTGGAGGAAGCAAGGCTGGCAGCTGCCTCAGGGCAAGTTCCCCAACAGCATCTGTATGAAGACACAGGTATCAATATAAGGGCTGGGTAAAAAAAAATAAAAAAAAAA